TCCAGTGTCTGAAGGGGGCTACAAGGATGCTGGGGAGGGACCTTCATCAGGGACTGGAGCGACAGGACACGGGGTGATGAGTTCAAACTGAAACAGAGGAAGTTCATATTAGATATAAGGAAAAATTCTTCCCTGTGAGGGTGCTGAGGCGCTGGCACAGGGTGCCCAGAGAAGCTGTGGCTGCCCCATCCCTGGCAGTGTTCGAGGCCAGGTTGGACACAGGGGCTTGGAGCAACCTGCTCTAGTGGAAGGTGTCCCTGCCCGGGGCAGGGGGTTGGAACTGGGTGAGCTCTAATGTCCCTTCAATATTAGATATAAGGAAAAATTCTTCCCTGTGAGGGTGCTGAGGCGCTGGCACAGGGTGCCCAGAGAAGCTGTGGCTGCCCCATCCCTGGCAGTGTTCGAGGCCAGGTTGGACACAGGGGCTTGGAGCAACCTGCTCTAGTGGAAGGTGTCCCTGCCCGGGGCAGGGGGTTGGAACTGGGTGAGCTCTAATGTCCCTTCAACCCAAACCAGTCTGGGGTTCTGTGATCCCAGCAGCAAAACACCATCAAATAGTCCCTTTATGGAAGATTCTAATTCTCTAATTGTCTTACAGCATCTTACCCTCGAGATTTGGATCCTTTTGGAGACGGTCCTTGATTTGTAGCTGAAAACCAGCTTCTCTCACGCAGGCAGCAACCGGCTGCTTCTGCACTGACCATTTGCCCACAGGCAGCCACGATGCTGCTGTCTGGCAGCAGCCCCTTTGGCAGCACCGTGTGGTTTTGCACCCTTGTAAAACCCTATCTCTGTGGTAGGCAACGGTGCCAAGTGTTCCAGGAGGAGAGCCACAAACAGGAGTGCTGGACCAGCGCGCGACGGGGGATCTGAGGTGCCACCTCTATCTGCCTGCCTCATGGCCTCTTTTCCCTGAGCATCAGTCATCCTCCGTGAGGAAAAGTTCCGGTGGCGACAAGACAGATTGAACTGATCCCCCTGCAAATCAGGCTGTGCAGAGCTGGCAGCAGCCAGCAGCACTGGGAGGATTAAGTGAGAACGTCACACGCTTCTGATTTGATTTCCCCGCTTTGCTCCATGTCAAGCTTTGGCAAGAGGAGAAACATCGCAGTGCTCTGCATCGAGTTATGGCCCGAGGCATTTGCAGCCTCCTCTGTTTCTCCCTTTATCCCTTCTCCTTACAGGTTTTCCTTTTATTTCTCTTCCTAGATGGAAAAGACTCCCCGTGTTGCATTCTTGGGCGGTCAGTTGCAGGGCAAAGCCATAGGGATTAATACACAACTACGCAGGATGTGCTGCCATCTGCTCTGACCCAGGGTACCAAACCTTATCAGCTTTGTGCAGCCGAAACCCACCTAATCCACCTGATAACCATCCCTGGAAAATCTGTTTGGTACTTTGAGAGCTGGTTGGGAAGAGCCAAGGCAATGGGTGTTAGTGCTGCTCATCACAGCGGCTCACGGTGCGTCCGGGGCTCCTGGCTTCTGCATCTTCCCCTTGTTGGACTGTGAACAGCTTCCAGGGACCCTGCAGGGACTCGTCTCCCTCTTCTTCCTCATCCTTGGTGTTGGCTGAGCCCCTTGTAAGTGGGTTTGCTGCGCTGGGGGATGTCTGGGTGGGCTTCATCATGGGCTTCACAACAGGTTCCCCTGGCTTTATGCTCCCAAGCAAGAAGTCCACGTGCTCAGGTTTGTTGCTGATGCTTGACCCAGTGGTTCAAATGGTGGAAAATGAGGGGTTTCCACAAAAGTTGGGCCATTTCTGTTGGAATCTTTGCTTGGAGACACATCTGAGGCTGAGAGCTCCAGAAAGCAAAGCCAGTGCTTGACTGCAACCACCCAAAAATGCTTCTACATCTCCAACTTTCTTTCTGCCAGTGCATTTCAGAGGACTTTCCTCATCGGTTTAAAGCACTTTGCAGCTGCAGAAGCCCTCGTGGTTGATAAAACATTCAAAGAATGAACTAAACCCCAACCTCATCATCTAGAGACCTTTCCAACCACCATTCACTTATCCACAATGGTGGAAAGGAGATGGCAACATTCACCTGACCGCACAATGTTGTAGGGATGGAGGCAGGAGGGAGTAAACTAGCAGCTCTTTTGGGAAACTTGGCCCCAAATCCTATTTGTCAGCAGCAATTCCCAATCTATCAGTCCCAAGCGACCTCTGAAGTATTCCCTTGGGGATGTTCTGGGTTCAGCTGCCCATCAGGATTAAAAATGGGAATAATAACAGTTCTCCCAGACAGGGGAGAAGAAAACTATAATAGAAAGGGTCTGGGCTGCTTGGAGGAGCTGTGGTGAGAGTCCATAAAAATCCTGGAGATAGATGGGAATGTGCAAACATCCTGAAAATAATTAGACCATTATTTCATATTAAAATATTGTACAGTTTGATAATAATTGTATCATGAGGCAGAAAATTGTTCAAACATTTTAATAACAGCTTCCTTTTTCCCCCCGTTTTCCTTGACCAGAACTTTTGAGGAATGGGAAAGAGATGAGGAGTGGGGAATATTGCTCCTGGCTGTCTAAGCTTTAATGACATCCTGTCTTGCTTAGACTGGGATGGAAAAGCATCACTACAGGGAGCAAAACCAGCTCCTTTTGCCTTCTTCCAGCACTACGTCCACCCCACTCAAATAACTCTCATTCCTTGCAGACCAGTCAGAATTCCATGTTTCTCTATCCAATAGGTTCCTGTGTATTCCTGCCTTTGAATTTTGGGGTTCAAGTGCAACCCATCACTGGGTTGTGCAAGGGTTGCCCAGCTCCTCGAGGAGACTTTCCCTGCCCCTTCCCACCACGCCTGATGTTTCAAACCCACCACGTTTAAAGGGCTTGGCACCAAAGCACACAACTTCACACCAGACACTATTGATGATGTTGGAAATGCTGTTTGCTGCTGTTTAAATAGTTTATTGTGGTTTGGGGGGGTGTTACCATGACGATGGGATGGCATCTGAGCACAGCCTTGTACCAGGGTAGCTCCGAGCGGGTGGCTTATTAAATAGATGCTGCACTTGAGGCACTGTAGCCATCGGTTAATTGCATCTGGAAAGCTGGAGTCTGCCTGGATAACTGACACTGCTCTACTGTTTCCACCCTCATGGAGATGAGATTAATATAATAGCAAACATTTATGAAGCCTTTTTCATCCCACAGTTTCCTTATCTGCTTCATTAAGTGATAAGGATACGGCAGATAAGGGATGAGTAACCAAGAGGATGCGGGGTTTCTGCTGTGGGTTTTATTGCACAGTGATTGCCCATCCTGAGCAAAGAGGGTTTAGTGCAGAGCCAGTCCCAGGGGAGTCTGCGACCAAGTCAGAGCAGATGCCCTGGGTTGAGATGGGTCAAACGTGTGCAGCACAGATCTGGGTCCTTCCTAAGCGCTCGAGTGAAGCCAGAGGAGGCCATGGAGATGCTGCAAAGGTGGCAGGGGTTGGAACTGGAGGAGCGTTAAGGTCCCTTCCAACACAAACCATTCCAGGATTCTACCTAAAAACCAAGAAGCTTGTCCATAGAGGAAACCTGCTTTTTCTGCTTTCCACCAGGATGGTGACACAGCAGCGTGGATGCAGACTTAGTGTCCCTCTAGCAGGTTTGTGTATTGAAGCTTGGCCTTGTCCTGCTGGTCCCAAATTCCTAGTGTCTGGATGACTGCTGAGGAGGGAAGCTGAGCCCTGCTGCCGCTTGAAACATGATGCTGGGACGGAGGTGTCACAAGCAGCTGCTTCCTCCTATTTATTGCTTTGATATCAACCGGTGACCATCCAAACTGAGATGGACCAGCCCTGAGCTCCGAGCAATGCCCAGCGCTCCGCAAAGCGTCTTCATCCCCAGCATGGGATGGGAGAGGAGGACCCAAAGCACAACCCAGACCCACTGAGATGCTGTTATTCAAGGCACCTTATCAGCTAGTTAGTCCTGGCACTGATTTACAGCTCTAGGGTGAAGAGGGAGAAGAAATATGCAGGGCTGGTATCCATAAGACCTGGCACACTCAGTGCACAGAGGGTTCCCACCGGGTATTGAGGAATTAAGGATAAATTAAGGAATAAATTAAGAAAGCCATCAAATAAACTAAATATCTCACCAAACTCGTACAGTGGCTTGTGCCAGCACCCAATGTGCAGATGAACACCATGATCACACCAAGACACGTCTAAAACCTGAGTGTCTGCACCTCCGAGCCACCAGACAGACACTAATTCATCTCACTCCTGTATTTATTGACACGGGAATTTCAAGCCCCCAAAGGAAAAGGAGGGAAAAAAGATCTAATTTAGTTTTGGACAGGCTGAATTTATATCTAGTGGATATGGGAGGGTGGGGGGGTTAATTCCAGTTAATTCCCATTGGATCAGAGCCTACTGCTGGGAGCAGTGCATAAACCAGCCTTGCATTCCCTTGTCCATCCCCATCCCATGGCTTTCCAATCCCAGCTGGGAAATCAGTGCTTTGAGCCAGCTCCATGCTGGGTATCCAGCAGCTTCCCATGGCTTTTGCAGCATTCGGTGATGCTGGAGTTTTTGGGAATGCCAAAAGCTGCTTTGGTTATTGCTACCTGGTGCATAGGGAATGCCTCAGGGCAGCAGGGGCAGGGGCTGCCGGCACTAAACCCACCTTCTTTCACTTCCCTCTTCCTCTCCCATCTTCCACATTACATGCGAGGATTACCCAGTGCTGGGCGCTGATCAAAACCCTGCTCTCAAAGCCCAGAAGTCCATTAAGTCAAGATTAAACCCAACCCCCTGGTGTTCTATTTGGGTGTAAATGACTAATTACTCTGTGCACTGATGCAATTTCTCCTCTCCGGAGGGTTTCTTCCTGCAGTAATCACCTCTCGGGGAAGGCAGGGGGTGAACATGTTCCTCATGTTCAGCTGCTTCAGCCAACCTGGGAGTTCAAGCTTATAAGTAGTAAATAATGTTCTGAGCCACTTTTTTCCTGCTGCAGATAATACGGGGTTGGGGAGATATTAACCATTGCAGACAGCAATTGGAGGAGCTGTGGTGGGAAATGAAGGTTTAAGGGTTTGCTGTTTCCTCCACAGACTGATGGATCTTCAGACACCCAAGATCAGTTGATAATCCATTTGGAAATCAAAAAGGGATTATAAATCCCAGTGGCATCACTGGGCCCCAAGTGCTGCTCTGGCAGTGCTGGGACTGGAGGAGGTTGGAGAGGGGGGTCTTTTAATCATAGAATCCTGGAATGGTTTATGTTGGAAGGGACCTTCAAGCCTCTCCAGTTCCATCCCCTGCCACGGGCAGGGACACCTTCCACTAGAGCAGGTTCCTCTCTCATTTAGAGATCAACTGGGGAAGTGGGTTTGATTCCCAAGCAAGTCCCAAGAAGGCTCTTTGCCTTCGCCTGCATTCCTGGTTTTCCATCATTCCTCCACCACGTTTGCTAATGGCACAGGAGAGCGGTAGTGCTCAGAGAGGAATCCAGGCCCCAAGGAGAGAGAAAATGTCCAGATCATCCCATGCACCACGGATACTGCAACATGGATACATGGCACTGCTGGATGCTCACTTTTCCTGGAAGACTGGAAAACCCCAGGATTTTCTCTCTCTTTCAAGTGAATTGGGAAGAGTTGGAAGCCAGAAAGGGAGATGTGATGTGCTCTGGTACTGCTACACCCCAAAACGAAGGACATGGCAAACTTTATGGTGCCAAAACGAGCTCTTGGGCCCCTGTATGTGCAGGATGCTGAAAAGCATCGTGGCTTTTCCTGAGCAGATTTGCCAGCTGCCAGCCTTGACTCCTGAGTTTCCTGCTATTGTTGCAGGGTTCGGAGTAACACTCGCTATAGGATTCACTTCTTTCCGTGTTCTTCTCAGTGCCCAGGCTGCAAAAGGTCCTGGGGAAAGAGCTGCTGCTCTACCTTCAAGCAAAAGCCATTGGGAGAATGAAACCCACTTCCCCACTTCTCTCACTGACTCCGTTATGGATCCAGAACCACTCGATCTTTCCAAGGTGGTTTTATATCTCCAATAAGGATGCTGGTGGAAAGCACAAGTGGGGATGGTTTAGGGGAGCAATCTGCAGATCGAGGCTGCTCTGGGACATCCAAAGGCTCTGGTGGATGGCTCAATGCACTTGGGAACACAAGGCACAGTCAATTCTGCTTCCTTTTTGGGTGGAAATCAGCTCTGCAGTCGTGTTTGATTTCACAGGTAGGTCCTGGCTGTGAATATAACCCATTTTGCTGAGCCTACCTGGCTCTGCTGCTCCAAATCCAGGTACTTGCTTTCCTTGTTCCTACACTGCTTTTTCCTGCTTGCCAGGACAAATTCTTCCCTTTAGGTTCCTGGAACAAGTTCAAGTGCTTCCTACATTTCAGTTACTATTGTCAAGTCTCAGGCACAGGAAAACAAGGAATTTTCCAGTGCTTGGACATGTTGTTGGGTGCTGCTTGCCCTGGGGATAAGGAATGTAGGAGGTAGCTGTGGGCAGGAGGCATTTTGTACCTTCTTTTGAGCCCTTCTTGGTGGGTGAGCACGAGGTTTCCAGCCCAGCCACGGGCAAACCAAGCCTCTGTTAAGGTTTACAGATGCAAAAAGAAACCTGGAAATGCCAATTGCACCCCAAAATGCAGCCCCAGGCTCCCAGATGTGCCTTTGCTCCCTATTTCAGACAGGTTCCTCCAGCTTCTCCTGGCAGCTTTGCTTGTCTGGTTATTCCAGGGTGCAGAGCAAAGGCGAAAACCCAAAGTACTAAAAAGGAATCATCTCTTGAATTCATCCTAACCCGAGAGGGGCTTTGCTGGCTGATCCCCAACATCCTTACAACACAGATGCTCCCGAAACAGAGCCAGCAACAACGGGTAAGACCAGAGCCACGTTGGTCGTATTCATCTCTTTATGTATTATTGCCTTAATTCTCCTTTACAACAGCTTGGCTATGTCTGAGAGGGTCTTATAACCACCCCGGAGCCTGTTTTTAATGACTAGAGAGCATCATCCATCCCGAGCTGCTTCCCAAGCTGTCAGTTATGTTCATCCTAGGGAAACATTCGTGCCAGTTAGCACAGCACTTAGATAGGAGCTGGAAATGTGCTGGCATACGGCGGTGCAAAGCTCTCCCCTCCCCTCCCGTGTATCCCCTGCCAAAACGTCTTTTACTTCCTTGGAAGCAGGACCAAAAAGAGGCATTGCAGAGCCGAGCTGTCTTTGGGAAAGATGATGTGTTGGAAAAGTCTGTTGCGCTTCAAAGGCCAGTACTCCAGAGGGAATTGCGGAGCTGCCCGAGAGTTGTGATTTATCTCTAGCGCTGGTGTGAAAATGCCATCAGATCCAAGATTTCTTGGAGAGGGAGAAAAGAGGGGAGCTCACCCCGGAGGTGCACGGCTTCTTTGTGCTCCTTGGCACAGAGAATCATAGAATCTCAGCCTGGTTTGGGTTGAAGGGAGCTTAAAGCTCTTCCAGTTCCAACCCCCTGCAACAGGCAGGGACACCTTCCACTAGAGCAGGTTGCTCCAAGCCCCTGTGTCCAACCTGGCCTTGAACACTGCCAGGGATGCTCCACAGGGAAAAGGCAGCATCCCCTGAGCTTCCTCTCCCCTTGACCCCACTGATACAATCAAGGTGGGTTTGCCTGAGGACACCCTCCCACCAAAGCAAGGTGCTTTCCCAAGCCCGAGCTTCCCTCCCAGGCTCCTTAGAGGGTTCCCAGCCCGGACTGAGAGACATGGAACGGCTCCTGCGGCACAGCAGAGGCGCATCCGACACTGGTGTCTTTTGTGTCATTTTGTGCTAAATATCGAGTTCTCTTTTAAAGGAGGAGATTGGGAAAGGGATGGATGGTTCTGCAGAGTTGCTGGGAAGGGAGTGGGCAGCGATGCTACACATGCACACCCAAGACACGCTACCGAGGGGGGTTACAAAGCCTTTCCTCGAGCTCCTTTCACCGAGCTGGCAAAGGATCCCCAAAGCCTCCTGCACCCAGTGCTCTCTTACCAAACAAGCTGTATTTTAACTGCAGTGTGAGGTCCCATGGATCTGAGCGCAGCACCCTGGAGGAGGCAGAGCTGGGTGCTGGAGAGGGTTTGGGGGTTGATGCTCAGAACTCACCTGTCCAAGGCGATGGCCGTCATGGAGTAGATGCTGGCAAAGACAGCAGCGATGGGGAAGAAGTTGTGAAACTTGCAGTAGAGCAGCCCATAGTACCACTCGTTGTGGATGGCGTAGGTGAAGTTCACCACCGTGTTGAAGGCAGACATGGAGGCTTCGGCGAAAGCCAGGTTCACCAAGAAGTAGTTGGTGACGGTGCGCATCCTCTTGTGAGCCAGGATGATCCACATCACCACCACGTTCCCCACCACCGACACGACCACGATGAGGGCATAGGCGACAGCCCACAGGGCCACTTGCCATGCGGGCTGCACAAACTGGTTCACAAAGGACTCGTTCAGGGAGGTGTTGAGCAGCCCCTGGTGCTCCAGCTCCGCTTCCAGCGGCAGAGCGTTATCCATCGCACCACGGCGCAGCTGCAACAGGCACAGGGATGCTGCAGGGTGCAGGTCCCTCCCGGTTTGGGATGCAGCAGGATCAGGGTGCTCAGATGCTGCAGGTCCCTCCTGGTTTGGGGTGCAGCAGGAGCAGGGTGCTCAGATGCTGCAGGTCCCTCCTGGTTTGGGGTGCAGCAGGAGCAGGGTGCTGAGATGCTGCAGGTCCCTCCTGGTTTGGGGTGCAGCAGGATCAGGGTGCTCAGATGCTGCAGGTCCCTCCCGGTTTGGGGTGCAGCAGGAGCAGGGTGCTGAGATGCTGCAGGTCCCTCCTGGTTTGGGGTGCAGCAGG